GGAGGGCTGGGCGCAGCTACGGCTCAGGCCACCGCTCCCACCGGTAACTCGCGCGTGTCTGCTGGGAATGACTTTTTGCTCGTGGGTTGTGGTTGCGGGAGAACTAATAATCTTGGGGTGAAAAGTTTCAAATTCCTTTTTTTTTTTTTTTTGTGGGTTTCTGTATCATCCTTTTTCTTCAACTGGGGTAGACTTAAGTAGTTAGCCAGAAGGATGTGTTGGTTCTTTACAATTAATTTTCAGACTTTCCTTCCTTTTTAATACAGCGCACTAACAAATTGTCCAGGCTCTCTAAATATAGATTCAAATTTTAACCACTGTTGTCCTGAGTAAAAGTGATATTGTTTCTGTGTAACGTGACCTAGAACTAGAATCACAAAATAGCGGCCGTCCCTGAGGACTGAAGTGCTTGGCATTTAGACTGGTGTTTGCTTGGCAGAGAAAGAGATGAATTAGATGTCTGTTTAACCCGTTACAGTTCAGGTATGAGATGCCTGGGATGCAGCTGTGTGAAAACATTTCTCATTTCTCACAACACTGCTAGCATTATGCTAGATTCCTGCCTGTGCTACCACCTACTTACTGCTTTAAGAACTAAGTTTCCCTATAATCATGTTAAAAGGAAAAAGTTTAATGGCTACATTCACTTTTTTTTTTCCCCTGGACATGGTGTAAATGGGGACTTTATGGGGATATAAATAATTGTAGTGAATAACATAACCTGATGCAAAGATATCAACACAATTCAGCATCTTTTAGTTTATTCTTTTTGGCCTAGCCCCGATTGGTTCTGTGTAATTACATGCTTTGCTTACTTGGCACGTGCTGATTACAAGAGGCGGGCAGCCCAGAGGATGAGGCAGTTTGGAAAAAAAAGTGGAGGCTGCAATAGAGTGGGTTTATAAAGTCAGCTAAATGATTTTCTAGCCTTCATGTTCTGGTTAGTGATGTGCGACTTTGGTCGAGCGCCTCTTTGACTTTCTACTGTAAAACCCCTCAAGGGGGTGTTTTGCACAGATAACCCCTCCCTGCCTACCCCCCAAGTCCCCTAGCATATCAGATTGGCACGGTTTTATTGGCGCCGTTACAATGTGGCTTTTTTTTTTTTTTTTTAATCTTTGCCCAAAGTTTAGCCATGTTCAGGTACACCTGTTGCTGTCATATGCTGTCAGTGGCTCAAAAAGTGAGTGAAGTAGCCAAAGCAGTAAAATGCCTCTGAGGAATTTCTGAGGATAAATGCTATAAGGACATCATAAGGATTGGGTAGGTTATGTAAATACAAGGAAAAACTGTAACTGTGTATTCCAAAAACGTAATAATTCATTTTTAAATAAAACTCTTCCAGGTAAGTTTTAAAAAAAAAAGGGAAATTAAATCCGTAGACAGGACTTGCTTGGGGTAAAGTATATGATGGACCTATAGAATGTTTTCTGGATGGTCTTCTGTTGTGGAAGATTAATTCAGAGATTCCCCCCCCCCACTCCCCCCAAACTGTAATTCACCATGTGTCATTACTCTAGAACGATTTTTATGTATTAGTGTAAAAATTCTAGGACCTGTTAGGCTGCTTAATATTTTCACTTACTGGTGGTGCAGTAAGTCTTCCCAACACTGAGGTATTTTTTATTTTCTACCTGGCACTATATCTCAGAAATAACTGTCTGCAGTTCCTGTATAGTTTGTATAGGAATAGACTTGCCTGTAAGTTGCATAAGATAAAAAAACAAATGCAGGTCTTAAAGTGAAAACAAGCTTTCCAGGAACTTCAGTTTCAAATAATAGTTGAATAATGGGTTTTGAAAAATGGCTTGAACTTGGTTTAAGCTAAATTACTTTAACTGTGCACATTGTCTTAAATTGCTGTTAAAATCTATTCAAAGCACAGCAGACTGAAGGCCTCAAAATTTTAAAGCACTTTTACAATATTTTTGTGTATATATACATTAAATAAGTTCTGTATTCTAGACAAGAAGTTTGTCTGTTTGGTTTACTTTAAAAAACACCTCATTACAAAGGCTTACTGCTGAGAAAGTAAAGCTCAGCCTGGTTTAACAAATAGCACAAATGATTCAGCAACATGGATAGGGATTCAGTGACTTCCCACCCCTCAGTAAAATGGCATTACTACAATTAACTGCTTTATTTGTTGGGGGTTGGTCTTAATCTTTTGTATAAATAAATAGTCTGCATATTGAATATTGGAGGGTTTCTTTGAGTTCCAAGATTTTCTTTTTTAGTGCACATAGCTAAAATTTTTAAATTACAACCTGAAAATATGTTGGGTGAAGGTGAAAGTTTTATTTAAAGGAAAGTAATCCATCAAGGATTAGTTTAACATTACTATTAGCATGCTACATCAGCTTACTGTTCTTGACAAAAATAAGTGGCCATATTAATTATGGAATTATTTCTGGGAAGCTAGCTTTTTAGGACTAGAATCTCTAGCCTACTGCTTTATACATAAAGAACCACTTTTCAAACCCAGGTTGAGAGTATAGTTTTAAGGCTTGCAATTCATTCATTCTTGTCTGTCTGTCTGTCTCCTTCCCCCCCCCCCCCCCCCCCCTTCTTTTTCCCCTCATCAGGCAAGGACAATAGACTCCACTAGGCTGTCTTCTCAGCTGCCTTTGTTCTCAGGCTGTTTGTCTTTGGGTTGATATTATCAAACATCTAAGTAGATGAATTGCTTTTTTACCCCTTTTGGCTGTGTACTGAAAGAAAATGGCCAACTGACTTCAACTTCTGCTGCTGCTGTTAAAATCTAGTATTCTGATGTTCGCTGGCAGTTCAGCCCTTGCTGTAAATGTTACTGGAAAGCTTGTAAGGAAACTGAACACCTGTATATGAGCGTTTCTCAATCGCTGGAGAACTGACTGGTATGTAAGAACAGAGGCCAATTTGTATTTATATAAAAATAGTCCAAGTATTGAAACCTAGCTATGAAAATGATTTAAGTATTATTTTTTAATTACAGAAGAGGTCGCAAGAAGCAAAGAGGCTTTTTTGAGGCATACGTTACAGCTAGATACTTCTTTCCATTGGAAGTCAGTGGAAGTTAGGCGCTTAACTACTAGCTGCCATTGAAAATTGATGGTGGCTAGGTATCTTTGGAAAACAGTGCCCACCTTCTTTGAGAAATATGAGCTTTTTCATTTATACATTGCTTACCACACTTCAAGTGTGTTTTCAGCTAAGCAAAATATATTATTCTCAAAACTTATTTCCGTATTTTGATTATAGATATTAAGATGGACTCTATAAATAGCTACTTGTGCAATTTACATTGTTTCTTCCCGGAGGAAAAGAAAAAGCAACAAACTAAAAGAGCTTCAAAAACGCATTATTAGCAAACGTTGCAAAACTTGTAATAAAATGTAGTTAAATATAGTCTATGCTTTGCATTTGTACTACAGAATGTATGATGGTAAATGAGAAATTCTGGCATTACATTAATCTTCTTGCACGACAGTCAAATCTGACTTCAACTGCCTTCCCTCCCTCTCCAAGATTCCTCTTTGAAAAATGTTCTTATTCTTGTTTTGCTGTCAGAAGTACCTGAATAACTTTTTGGTGTTAATTGGTAGGAGTCCCTTAGTTCTGTCTCAGAGGAAAGAGATGCTCTTAATCAGGTGACTGCTAGTTGTTTTAGTTTGGCAAATCAGTGGTACTTGTATTCTACTTTGTTTCTACTGTTCAGGATCTATACGCTATAAAAATACTGATGTTTTTCTCTTTTTAGATGGATTACATTGTTAGATTATATAGAAGAGTGCTAAATCAAGGAGCTTTTTATCTCCATATATAAAATATGCTTTCAATAACACTTAAGTGGCTTATAGTTAGTATAAGCTACGCGGAACTTTGAATTTAAGGCCTGCATGTTTTTATGACAGTTTGCTATTCGTGGTAACTGATTATAGCACTTAAATGAAATAGTTCACTAGAACTTGCAAATGTATTTCTTCATCTTAAGCACTAACCTGCTATTCCTGAAGCATGTGCCAGTTCTGTGCAAGTTTTGTTGTCTTTCTGTCTTCCCAGTTGGCATTCACTCATTCTTTCTTCTTTAATTTCAGAAAACATGCCTTGAATTGTCACAGAATGAAGCCTGCTCTTTTCAGTGTGCTGTGTGAGATCAAGGAAAAAACAGGTTTGTTGATGTCTTTTCTGATTTCAACTTTCCAAAGAAACATTGTGATAAGCTTGACTTTCATGTAATGTGGCCCATGTCTTCCCTTATATGTTCTACAACTTATGGCTATTTTTTGGCTTAATATTCTTCTGTAGGCTGCAAATTGTTTTGATTTGCTTTCTACAATACTGTGCTGATTTGGAGAAGGTGTTTTGGTTTGGGGAAGGGGGGAAAGAAAACTTTCTTTTTTCATGTCTGGCTAGACATCTAGAATGACTGGAGTAATGTTGCTATATTGTTTTGGTTCTCCTTCGTTTGATTTGGTTTGTTTTTTGAGTTGGTATCAAAACTATGGTGGTAGTAAGAGTTTAAAGTTGGCAAACAACTATATTATAGAGAAAAACGGCCAATAAGGAGAAAGTATGGGGGAAATGGAAAAGATAGAAGTAGCAGGAAATAGAGTTGGCAGACAGATGGTGCAACTTGCTTGCTTTTTAAAAAGCAAAAGTATTGGAGGCAAATGGATTTTGATTTTTAACACCCTGTATATGCTCATATATAAACTCTTAAGCAGTATTATTTGAATGTCTCATTTATATAAATTTTAGTGAATTTGGATTTTATTTTATTTTTTAGAGAATAGCTACCTTTCATTATCTGTAACTAAAACTTTATACTTTTAGCTTGATTAATGTTTGACATCCTAAACACTTTTTTTTTTTTAATGTATTGAAACTTACAATACTTTCATCATATTGCCAAGTGAATGACCATAGTTGTGTCCTCGGTGGTGCCCTTGTCATCAAAAGCAGCTTTGAGGTAGACGTGACATTTTCCCTTTCTGGAGGGTTTGGCTGCATCTATTGCATTCTCATGACAGCAGTTTGCTTGTGAAGAAAAATGTTGTGGTAATAAAAGTCTGCGTGTGCTGTTCGGGTATGCCTTCATGCCTGTCTTTCCTTCAAGCACTTGTATACTTAAAGAGGCTCCTTCAGCTGTTTTCTTTTCTACACTGAAAGCTACTTTCTGTGCTTTATAGATTGAAAACGTAACTTCTCTGAACTAAATATGCTTGCAGGAACAGATTCTGATATCTTGGTTATGCTGGATTTGTTTTGGTCTCATAGGTTTTTGAATGTCTGATGGTCTGTCTATTCCTTATTTAAATTATGGGGAGCAGATGTTATGGCTTCAAGCAAACAAAAGCCTGGACGTACTGTAGCACAAGGTTTTGGGCTTTCTTTGTGACCCAGGCACACAAGCTTCTTTTCTAGCTCTGAATCGGTTTAAAACATGTGTATGTCCGTTGTCCTCCCCCCCCAAATCTTTCTTTCCTTCTCTTTGTTGGAGTGTTAGTGTCATTCACAATAGCTTAGGATAAGCTGTATGCCTTTGCAATGGGCAGCCAGCTGAAAGGTGCAGAAAATTCTGCCCACAAAGTGTTTATTAATTAAAAAGGAATTACAAGTGACTCTTTGTAATTTAAATGAATTTAGCCACATCTAATATTTTATCAAGATACTGTTCAAGTTCTGGATTTTTTTCATAGAAATGTATTTTCATTTTTGACATAAACCATTCATTTATGGGAAAATGGATATTTTCTAGTAAATCTTAAATATATGCCTGGAGCATATGTAACTGTTTGAAGGTACACTTAACCCAGTAATGCCTGCTTAGGTTTTGGAGAACTCATGGAAGTATTTGTGGTGTTTTTAATCTGCAGCAATTACAGGTTTGGTATGCTGCTGATTGAGTTATGCTTCAGATAACGATTCAAACAATATGAATTCAAGCGGGGTGTAATTCTGTATTAAAATCAAAATTAAACATCTGTAGCGTTAAAGATGCGTGTGCTTGGTGCTGAATATTAAATTCCAGAGTTTTTCTTTTCAGTTGATTATACTATGCTAAGAAAATACTGGGTCCTGATGGGTTTCAAGTTCCTTGGGCCAGGGAAGGCGTACTCCTACATATTTTGTGGAGCGTTCTACACAGAGTGACTCAGATCTTGATTCTAGATTTCTGGCATGTAGTATGGTATATGTTTGTAGGAGCATCGTAACATGGAGTACCATATTTATGTCATTGCTAGCTGCAGTCCACTCTTCTTCCTTTAATGTGCTGACACTCGGCTAGGTTAATTCAGTGGGTACCTTTTCATTTGGTTACAAAACTTGGCAAGTGCTGTGGCCGAAGAACATGCTTTCTCTTCGTTGCTGTTTGTTGACATTCTTACGTAGCTGTGTCTTATTCCTCAGTGCTCAGAGCCCTGCTGGCTTTTCTTTTCCACTTCAGTTAGTTTTTTTTTTTTTTTTCTCCTCTTTCTCTGAATGTACAAGATTGTCAGTCTTGAATTTTAAGAAAGCTCTCTCCTGTTACAGTGCTTTGAGACCAGCTGACCCAATGGTGGTGTCATTCTCTGTAGTGGGACTCTTGGGAAGCTGGTGGATTGCTAACTGAAAAATGTGATCCCTCAAGTGGGTAAGGATAGCTCTTGTGGCTCCTGGGTGAAAAATCTGTTTGGTAGTGCACCTATGAAGGTTTTATTTTGGTAACATTGAGAAGTAAGTTAGAAGGGGTTCATGGTTGCTTTAAGCCAGTCTAAAGGTGGCTTGCTACTCGAATAATCGTCCTGCCTTCTCACTTAATTGTGTGATTTCCTGCATGGACTGCCAAATTCAGGGAACCCTTCTATCTGACAAAGCATCACAAAAGTCAGTATTTTGCGCTCATTAGATGATAAATACTTGGCAGCACAACGTAGGTGACAAGATTCCTACTTGGGAAAGCTCAGCTGTAGTTGAGGGATGTGGGTCCACGGAACTGTCTGCATACAGCGTTAGTACAAACTATTGTATTGTCTACTTGCACTACCAGTGCTCTGATGGTGAGATGTTTTAGTATACTTTGAGGTTTTTTTTAAAAAAAAAAAAAAAAAAAAAGGAAAAAAGAAAAAGCTAATGTTCATATTGGCCAACACAGTACCCAGCTTTACTTCCTTGTGTTTTGTGTAGGTGTTTTATACTTAATGAAATATGGGCTGTTGGCCCTAAGCGTGCACTTTTTGGTTCTAACTTTGTATGTTCTTCTAACTTATGGATGGATTTATCTTGCTCTTCTGCACTATTTGCCTTATGAAGGAAAATCTGGAAAGGACAGCAAGTCTAAGCAAAATTTGCATCACTTATTTTGGTACCAGTGATCTTGTACAGTTCATTACAGAACTGCAAATCTTTAATTAATGATATGTAAATATATTGTAATGATCACATTTGCATACTGAGTGAAGCTTCAGTACCTTAGGTTGTGATGTATTTTAATTAAAGATTAATTAGAAATGATGGGAATTTCACTTTGCTTAGTATAATTATTTTACATATTTGATGAATATCTTGTAGCTGATGTGCCAGGAAATGCACAATATTATATTAGTACATCTGACAGGGGTGGCTTTTAAGGCTTTTTGATCCACAGTAAGGTTTTTTTAAGCTTTCATAAAAGTGATGGATTGTGAAAGATTTAAGCATACCGTTAAGCAAGGGCTTTCTAAATCATGCTTAAAACGTTGACTATGCTGTAACTGTTTTAGTGGAAGAGCAAGCACTTATTCAGTGTTTAGCTGTCCTTTCAACAGGTAGGAAATAAAATGGATAATTTAGTCTTAATTTGTATTTTCTTGAAGCTTGTATTAAAAACAGCCAAAGAATTGCACAGTTAATGAGTTTCTATAATTCTGTGTGTGAACTGTTGGGAGTAGCTGTATTTTTTCCCCTGATGGTTTTACTGTACCCACACTTCAGTGCCTTAGCGTCTTGACTCAAAGCCTAGAATGTTAATTGAGAGTCATCATATGTTACGTTTCTTAGACTATGGTGGGAATTTCAAAAATTTGATTACTCTTCCCTCCCACCCCCCTCACCCCATAATTAGGGACATGGTCAAAAGGCTACCAAGAGGTATGCTTTCTGGAGAAGCGTTCTTTCTGGCCTTCCTCTGAGTATAGTGAGCCAGTAGGTGTTAAACAGTGCTTAAGGGTAGGCGTATGTAATGTGTTGGCATTAGTTCAGGTGCTTTTTTTTTAATCTTGGTAACTCTTTTCTTTTGGAATCCTTTTTGTTTAGTGAAATCTAGTTCTGACAGAGGCCGCGTAGACTGCAAACTCCTGCTGGCGTAATTATCAGGACTGTATGCAGAAATGTGATGCCTGACCCAGAGAGCATGCCAAAAATTCGTAGGGTAAATGCAGCTACCTCCACAACATTTGTACCAGTACAGCACGTATTTCTGGAATCGTTTTTACTAGACTGTCAGAATGCAGTTTTCTGGTATCCTTTGATGGTGCACGTTCTTGTTTCTTTGCTTAACAGCGTATACGTTAGGTGGGTCAGTAAGATTAGGAAAACTGCAGCCAAAACTTCTAAGCTCTTGATTGGTCTCCAGGGTAAAACACATACAGTAAGGCCTCTTCAATAAACTACTTTTATTTCGGTGAGAAACTCGGGGAGCTTTAAATATTCTTTTGTTCATTTGTGGATTTTCCTAACCTGAGGTGGAGGAGATTGCATTGACCAGCGGATTTTTTGTGATGTTTCCATTGAGTGCTGTCCTACAAAGTCTTGAATGCTGACACTGCCTTGAGGCACATTGGACAAATAAATGTGTGTGGCAAGCCCTGGGGGCAGGGAGTGAGACTGGCCTACGTTTAAGCAACAACAAAAAAGAAAATGACCTGCTGCTTAACAAATAACAGCAAAGGGAACAAGCACTGCCAATATTTTGGTAGTTTTGTTTAGAAGAATTTCTGAATTCTGTACTAACAAATGGACCGTTTGTTACATCCAGACGGCATCACTGACCAAAGGGACTCAAAGGTTGTAGCTAGCTAAATAGCCTTGCACGATCTGCTTTGAACATAGCACTCCTCAGTGGCTATAGTTTTGCCCTCCCATTTTGTCATCTTCTGAGATTATCAACTCTGGAAGGTTGGTAAAGAAATGAATATAGCTCTTGTCCTTGAAAATTTGAACCAGATACTAGTTACAGCAAAGAAAACTTCGTATTCATTGAAAGAGGTAGCTGTAAGTGAATCTGTAACTTATGATCTGTACAAATACTGTTATTAGCTGAAAAGAAGATACAAGGAGTAAAAATAAAGTTCAAGCAAAAGTATCCTTCAAGTAGTTGATGGCTTTAGTTAAAAAATATCATCTGTAACAGTGATTCCTATAGAACTTGTATTTTAACTGCAATGTAAATTAAGGTATAATTATGCCAAAAAATGTTTAAAATCAACCTGATGCAGTCAGTTAAAAATACTGAGCTGCTTATAGTCATTGATTCTTAGATCTGTTCATCTTGATAGTGTTCCACAAAATAAACATTTGAACTACTAGGGTGGAATGCAGTCTACAAGATGTTAACAATAGTTAACTCCTCTTCAGTTACTTGTGGCTAACTAGAGCTAGCCAACCAGATTCTTGCCTCGAGATGGTAAAAGTGTTTTTATACGTGCTTTTCAACAGTCAACTTGAGATGAGCTTATGTGTAATTGATGATAACTAATGTCTAATTACCATAATTAGACAAGTGACATAAAATTAAGCTGCAGCTGGGAGCTTGACTTCAACATGAGGTACTCTGATATGCATCATAATGTGCATAAAAAGAGGGTTGGCAGAAGTGCATCCAAATAAGAATGTGACACAAAAATATCTGTTCCACTGAATATACTTGCCAGTCCAAACAGTTTAATGTCAATTTTATTAGAAAGACTAAGCAGCAAATGACCTCTGGCATGCTCTTTAATGGGTCAAGGCCTTTTGGAAAAAATGGCAACTGCCAATTTAAGAAGTCAAACATTTTCTACGTTTGTTTCCTGAAATGTTCATTCACTAAGGTATCATCAGAGGTATGGTATTTTAAAAGATGTATTAGTTTTAATTCTGTAAGGACTTAGAAAAGCCACTAACTTTTTAAATACTCAACTGCTCCCTTATTGTTACCTTAGCTTGAGTTCAACAGTGACGCATAATGGAGATCCCATTTTACATTGTACCTACCTTTGCTTTACCTTTTTCTGCTTGCAATAAGACTGGGGATGTTTTGGAGAAGACCTTGATTACTGTGACAGAGCAGAAGTCTGTAGCTGTCCCAAATTACCTCTTCAGAACTTTGTAGCGACTTCTGTATAGCCTGCAAAATGTCAGAGTTCAACAATGTGATTGTAAGTCTAGTCTGTGTGTTCAAAATTGTGTATCTGGTGAATTACTTCTTAGATGAGCTATTCTTTTGTCTATAAAATGCTGAAATTTGTTATAAATGTACATGTTAAGTGTCTCTGTACATACACATTGTTTTCCTGCCCTCATACTAGAATCTATACATGGAAAAAGATGTTTTATGCTTATCTTTGTAGGGAATAAAATATCCTGTTAACTTGATAATTAAAATTTGAAGGAGGTCATTGGAACTTTGTGGCTTCACAAGATTAAAACCAACTGTTCCTCAAACTGGAACTGTCTAGCAATTAAAATCAAATTAAAAAGCTGAAAAGCTTTTGGCTTTTTTTTGTATAACTGAATATCTTGTTCTTTTTTTCCTTTTTTTTTAAAGAGAGTTCATAATAAATTGGCTAAAGCAAGGATTAATTTGGAAAACAACATTTTAAAAACAAATTTACTTGGAATCAAATGTGAATAATCTGAGCATACGAGCTGTAGCGGACTTATTGTTGGGTATAAGCATAAGAAAGGCAGCTTTGGGGACATTTTTCAAAGCCTATTGTTTAGATTTTAATAGGTTTGGTGTATATTGCTATATAGTATAGTTGTTTTCTCAGCATATAAAGCAGACTAGGTCAAATCCATCTCTTTGTAGAGATTGCACTGAAATCTCTACAATAGCGTGTTGTTCCTTTTAGTTCCTGGACGCTTAGAAGTATAGCAGTTGGCGTGGTAGATCAGACCTTTTGTCTGTCTACTGTAGACTGTCTTTGCAATCTGGTACTGATTACTGTTGAGGACCATGCAGAAGCCACGTAGTAGGCTGATATGTGGTAATCTCCTCTGTAAGAAATCTTGTTCTAATCTTTGCAGACCGCCTGGAGCGCCAGCGTGAGGTTTAAAATCTCTTCTAAACTTGTATGTAGTGTAAACTATAGTGACTCTGAGTAGTCATTTTATCAGTATGCATTTGAAAACTCTCCTTGCGTTTTGGTGTTTCTTTTGATGCATTGTCCTACGGCTTTATTAACCCTTTTTCTTGACCTCAAGGCAGAACTCTGCTAAAGCCTATGAAGGGCACTTAAATGCTTTATCAGAATTAAAGTTGATGTTCTTTCCTGTTTTCAGAAATAATCTCTTGATTCCCTCTTTATATTCATCTAGTGTTAAGTATTCGCGGTATTCAGGAAGAAGATCCCCCAGATGCTCAACTAATGAGACTAGATAACATGTTGCTGGCAGAGGGTGTCTCCGGGCCCGAGAAAAGAGGAAGAGGAGGACCAATGGCTGTAGCAGCAACATCAGGTGGCTGTCCAAATGACAATAGCATTGAACACTCTGACTACAGGGCCAAGCTGTCACAGATCCGACAGATATACCACTCTGAGCTAGAGAAATATGAACAGGTGATCTTTCTGCATGGAAGAGTTTTTATCATCTCAATTAAAAATAACCGTTTTTTCCTTTGGTGTTGGTTTTAAGAACAGAACAGGAAGTATAATCAATTCAGATGAATGTAAGGATATCAAATTCAATTAAAAACTTAGCCTTATAGAAGTAAGGTGAAGCCAGAGGGACTTGGCATCAAACTGAAGATAACGAATGTCTGATTTATCTTTGTTGCAGTATTTTAAGAGTAAATAGAGTAAAGCTGAAACATGGGAACTCCTAAAATTTTTGGGGTATATATTCTTGTTGGGGAAATTAATTCTGGGGTGTTTTATTGTTTGTCGATACAAATGTATGTATTTTCAGGCCTGTAGTGAGTTCACTACCCACGTTATGAACCTGCTTAGGGAACAGAGTAGAACAAGACCAATTTCACCAAAAGAAATAGAGCGCATGGTGAACATAATCCATGGTAAATTCAGCACCATCCAGATGCAACTGAAACAGAGTACGTGTGAGGCAGTAATGATCCTGCGTTCACGATTTCTTGATGCAAGGTACTAAGAAAACACAATCTAGCGATAACAGCTGTTAAGTCTGAACTCTTTGTTGCTTGATGCCAGTGACTACATAAGAAAACTAAGTCCTGCCATTCCCAGTGTTGATCTAGTTTAAATATTTAGAACTCGCACCTGTTATGCTTGCTAAAGCATGCTAATTTTGTCATCAACATCTATTTAATGCCATTCAATTCTTATGTTCTCCTTAAAACCAAATACATCTTAGAGGAGAAAGAGAAGCCCATGGTGTACTCTCTCTGGTGTTCTCTATAACATTGTATAAGTAGGAACAACTGTTATGTTTTTATAGGCGTAAACGACGTAATTTCAGCAAGCAGGCAACAGAAGTACTGAATGAGTATTTCTATTCACACCTGAGCAATCCGTACCCCAGCGAAGAGGCCAAAGAAGAGCTAGCAAAGAAAGGTGGTATCACAGTTTCACAGGTATGAAGTGTTTTATCTGAAACTACTTTAAGTAACATTTTTTTTAACAACATTGTTTGGCCCCTATAATTAGCAGTAGGCTTCAGTTGCTGGTTCTTGAAACTAAACAGGCTTTCGTTTATTTTTGAAGAGTTTTAGTAGTGGATATTTTCCGCTTGAAGACTAGTTTAAAAAGTACTTCTGCTAGAAACTGCAGAATATAGTAGAAAATGGTAATAGTTTGACCAAGTACTAACAAGGATATCCTTCTGTAGGTTTCCAACTGGTTTGGTAACAAAAGAATTCGATACAAAAAGAACATGGGGAAATTCCAAGAAGAAGCCAATATTTATGCTGCAAAAACTGCAGTGGATGCAACAAATGTAGTGGCTCAAGGCAACCAGGCAAATTCTCCATCTACGCCAAATTCAGGCAAGCGAGGATGCCAGCGAAAAGCGACTGAACTTGAAAGCTCAGTCTCAAATTATCTCTTGTAACAATATGTAACCAACTTGTTCTTTCTTTTTCAGCTTCCTCTGGCTCTTTTAAGATGACAAATTCTGGAGACTCGTTTATAAACTTGCAGTCATTGACCTCCTACCAGAGCTCTCCAGTGGGAGCCAATGTGCAGTCACAGGTAAGTATTGTAAGAAGAAAATACATACTTTCAACAATGAGATAAATGTTGAAATCCCACCTCTGTACTGTTACTGTACTTCATATGTGAGGAACAGGTTGCCCAGTAGAGGTTGTGGAGTCTCCATCCTTGGAGGTACTCGAAACCAAGCTGGACACAGTCCTGAGCATCCTGCTCTAATTGACCCTACTTTGGGCAGGGAGGTTGGATTAGGCATTCTCCAGGGATCCTTTCCAACATTCACAGAATGGTTAAGGTTATTGGTGGGGGGACGACAAACAATTGTTTAAAGTAGATTCTATTAATACGAGATAGGGATGATTTTCCTGTCTTCAGTGTGTGCTGGCAAGGTTGCAAGGGATGGATGGAGTCAAATTTCTTCAACTAGATTCTAGAAACAAACTGACTCAACTGTATGTTTTCTCTTGGAACTGGAGTCTTAAATGGAGTGAGCCACCTAAATTAACCTACGGGTATTCTTCTATGGCTTCAGTTTACATTAATGAATCTTTTTCTTTTTTCCCCTCATTTTAGAGTAAGTCTTGCTCTGTGTAAGTAGAACTTTGCTTAGGATTTGTGGTTAACAGTCAAACACATTTTAAGCTTTCTGCTGAATTTCTAAACGCATCTAAACTGCATAGAATCCGTTCCTCTACAATAAGAGCTATATGCTACGGTAGGCTTGAGACTAGGTTCTAATGCTGTTTGATAATGAACTGGTTAAGCATAGCTCAGTTAATAGTGAGTAGTCATAAGTAACTCTGCTTATATAAAAGATTAAATCTACTCAGCTTTAAGGCTTCCTGGATAAATATCTTAAACATTTCTAAACGCCAGAGAATTATCTCTGCAAAAAGGACCTGCTAGTATTTTTCTGTGGAGAAAATATTCAGAGCCATTAAAAAACAAACAAAAAAAAACTTCCTACAAGAAAACCTGCCCCTTGTTTAAAGAATTTTTGGCCGAATAGATATGTACCACTCATACTACCTCATTTTTAACTTGACTTTTTCCCTTATCCTTCTCATTCTGTGGGATCTTGTTATAGATGGATTCCTTACATCATGTCATACACCAGACAGGAAGATATGACACAATTGTGGGGAATCCTTTGTATACGACGCAGCGCATAGATGTAAGATGTACTGAGGTATTACTTTACTAGCAACAAAAGTTCTGCCTGAGATGGGTTAATGATCTGTGAATAAATGTCAGATTTTTTTTTTCCCCTGAAATGTTTGATGTGGGGGCAGGAAAAAGTTAGAAAAAAAAAAAAAGAAGTTAATATATCAGCCTTTCACTCCTGGAGACCTGATTAAAACCTTGTCTTCAGTCACCAAAGAAATTTTGTATGTCTTCAGTGTATTCTTGGCATAAGTCGATGCTACTAGGAGCAAGGGTGTTACCATAAAATCTGTGGAAGAGGAAGTTTTACAGTATGTTCCTGGACTGTGCTTTCCTAGAGCTGATATCTAGTTATTTGCTTTCATAAGCACTGTCACTTGTAATGTGTGTACACGTAAACACAGGCTTTATTGTCTGCAAGTAGTTTCTTAAAGATTTAATGAAATGATATATTTATTCTCCCTTCAGGCTAATGGCAGCTGGCAGGATGCTACCACCCCTTCATCAATCACTTCACCTGCTGGAGACCCAGGAAGTGTTAATTCAGATGCGTCTAATTAAGTTTTTAGGACCTATTGATGAGAGGAAAGAGGTCATTAGTGTAATTTGTCAATGTTGCTCTTTTGCCAATACTATTGTTTATACAACTTGACACACAGCTAATTACCTCAGAAAATCCCTGGAACCAATAGAAGATTGTGATTACAATGATACCTCTCTACCTCTCAGCCTCACACAGTTGAGTTCTTTTTACTTATGCCCATTGGGATGTGAAATTGTTTTAAAAGAACTTGCTTCATTTTCCTAACCAAATTCATTTTTTTAAATATCGATTTTATGGTAAGAATCTGAGAGTGTCTCTTCTAGAACTTGGCATTTGTCTCAAGTTTTACGGTTAAAAAGAATTGACTTATTTTAATTTCCATGAAGTTTTTTACTATGAAATTTCTGTTCTAGTTGCTAGATACTAACAATTAAACCCCCTGTATTGTAATTGTATGCGTTCTCTGTATTGTAATTTTGTATAGGAAAATAAGCTTTTCTTAACTAGAGTTCATTCTGAGCTAATTAATCAGAACATTGCTTTACCAAAACTTTCATTGGACTTTGCTCTTGGATAGGATCTCCTATCCCGTGTCATTTCACGTGATTCTAATTTAATGTCTAGTGTAAAACTGACTTCCCCACGGATAGATTTTTTTTTTTGTGCATTTATGGAACTGTTAATACAAAGCCCACCGTTTTCAGTTGAGATTTTATCAAAGACAATAAACTTCCAAAGCCTTTTTTCCTTCCTGCCTTCCCGTGAGCCTGTCGCGGCCCCAGGGCACTTACGCGGCGGTAGCGGAGCGCGGGAGGCGCTGAGGGAGCGCGCGCGGGCGGCGCTGCCTCTCC